CTTTTGTGTTCTTAAAAAGTCTTTTTGTTTTTTTTTGTTTTTTTTTTTTTTTTTTTTTTTTTTTTTTTTTACTTTCCCTTTTTTTTTTTCCTTCATTAAACTTAAATTCTAGCCCCAAGTCTTTGCATGCTGTGCATGAAGCTCTGTAACAGGAAGCTCTTAGCTGGAACTTCTTCGTACAGGTATTATCTCAGTCTCTCAAAAGCTGTATGCTTAGAAAAATATGACTACACAGATAACCCCAAATATAAAATACTCCTGCTAGTTTCACTAGTCAGTCAGTTTCCCTCAGTCATACAGACTTCCCACAGCTTCCCACATTGGCAGACTTGATGGGAAGAGAGGTTTGGGGATTTGTGTGATTCAGTTTAAAAAGACAAACAAGTATTTATTTTTACCCTAGGCTTTAAAACAACACAGCAAAGAGTAAAAATAATTATTCATTACTTTTGGTGTAAGTAATTACTTACCAAGTATCTCATTTCAATTTAGCTGAATTCAAGAGAAAGAATGAACCGATCAAAGTGCGTGACCTGCTACCTGTAGTTCAATAGTATAGACAAGCTTATTATTATGGTGCTGATATGACAATGGAAGGGGGAAGGAAAAAAAAAAAAAAAAAAACACCACACAACAGGAGAATGGGCTGAAACAGGCAGTGAAGTTCACCAGGGACATGCACATAAATCACTAGGAGGGGTGGAGAGAAGAAGATGGAGAAGAGAGAAAATAATTGAGAAGAAATGAGAAATGAGTAACTACTTAGCAGAAATACATCAGAAATACATACTACTGACAAAGCCTTCAAAAGATTATTAAAGAAGACAGCTTTCCATCCATATCATGCTTCCTCCTTCAATGGCTGGTCTCATAAACACTGAAGAACGCAAACAGATGTTTCCCAAAGGAACTATTGCAAGGCTAATAACAAGTCTAGTAATAGGAAGCTCTTAATACCTGTACTAACAAGTTCCAGCTATCTCAGTCTCTCAAAAGCTGTGTGCTTACAAAACCAAAAATAAATGCAATAAAGAAACCTTCAGGTGCATAAGAATCAGGAATTAGCAAGTGTTTAATTTAGAAGGCATATTTACTAAAACAGTAAGAGGCATGGAGCTTGCATAGTAGGTAAATAGATAGCGGATTGGATGGTTTAAAGTGAGTCAGTCTTAACTGACAATGCAACACTAAGAACAAAATCCCATAAATATTAGCGGTGCTCACCGAGTCCAGCAACATCAGGGTTTCAATTAAAATGTCTGCTCAGGAAGATGAAGTTGTGATCATAAAGGTTCAATAAAGTAGTCAGGTCTTAACAACACTAAAGCAACATTCATTTCTAGATGAGATTAATTAAGGGAAGCTTATATGATTTGGTAATTAATAGCAGTAATATGTCCAAGCAATGAAGACAAACCATAACTAAAACTGTACACAAGCAAGAACAGAATTTTTAAAAAGTACACTCATAAGAATTAAACATATAAACTTTTACCTGATGCAAAATACAATGTTTCTTTCCAATTACACAGCAGTCTAAAGGCAAAGCTAAATCTTGGGGGGACATGGGACCTTTAACAAATACTTAGTTCTGAATAGAAGGTCTCACCTTGTAGTTTTCCATAAGCAACAAGAGAGCCACTGAAAGTCACCCCGCCAATGTATGTGCCAAGGTACGCCACAATCTTGGTGAGGTTTGCAGCTGGATCAGTAGAAAAGTGAGGTCATTCGATCATGTATTCTGCTACACAGGTGAGCACAGCAGCCAAACCAACCAAACTATGGAAAGCAGCCACTAGCTGAGGCAGATCTGTAATCTGGATGCGTTTAGCAATCGTCAAACCTATTGAGAGTTGAAGACAGGAGGGAAGTCTTACAAAACACAACTAATCTGTGCAGCTAGAAATTGATATATCATGGTTCAGTGTGCAATGAATACACGCACACACATGCCTGTTCCAATGGAAAAATTTGTTCTACGCTAGAAATTGCTACGGCATTTAACTGAAAGCTGCATACGTGCATTTTGTACAATGAGGATATAATGGAAATTAGAGACAAGATTAAAGCATATCATGTTCTTAAAAGCTTCATTAAATATTGAGAAATTCAACATTTTCTGTTAAGAAAGCACAGTGTGAAAAAGTGAATTTGGCAGTATTCAGTCAGCAACTGAACAGAAGTATGAAGTTGGGCAAGTTCATTCACCTCTGCATACCCAGTTTCCCTAACAGAGATGATGTGCTCCTGCTTTTCCACCAGTCTCTCCATTCTTTACCGCATCCTGATGCATTAATAAAAGCCCTGGGACTTATGATTCTTTGTTCACATACTTGCAAAATAACATAAGCAAGCCATAAATGTAAGTTAGTCAATTCACCTGTGACCTATACAATATTTTGCATATATACAGCTTGCATAAATGCACATATAGAACATATATTGTTAGTTTATAGTATCATACACATACCTATGGTACCACCGAGTGCCACTGCACCTGACATCTGCGACAACAATTCAGGTGAGGGTTTAAGGCCTCCAAGAGTTGCTGCTAAACCTCCTGCAACACCAATCATACCCAAAGCATTTCCAAGACGAGCTGTTCCTTGGGTGGACAGTCCAGCCAGGGCACCAACACAGCATAAGCCTGAGCCCAGATACATCATCTTTAAAATAAGAAAAACATCAATATGCATACATGAAGTAGAGGCACAAAGTGCATAATCATTATCAAAATCTTTGATTATTACACAAAAGGGCAAATTTCTCCAGAATGCGTATAAGTCACCAGATGGCTTGTTCATAACTGAAGTAGAAGTCAAACTCTTGACTGTGAGAAACTGTTGTATGGGATGTGATTTCAGCCAATTAATATGTGATATCTATTAAAACTTTTTCCCCACTTTATGAGCTTGGTTTATCTGCACTGTGAATACTAAACTTGCATCAAGTCAACTTTCCTCATCAGTTCAGAAGCAAGTTTTTCTTTAGTACAACCCCAAAGCTAAACTGTCCTGTTCATAAGCAAATTCCAAAACTATTCCTATAATGGTGCATCTGAACTCCTGTTTTCAAAAAGTATAAACAAGCTTAAATGAACTGAGCTATACCTGTCTAGATAACTAAAAAAACTCCATGTATTGCAAGCCCCCAGGATAAAGCTATGCCTGGATTCGCTTTTTCCAAACACAGAAGGCAATACACATTGATTTTTCTTACTATTAAAACAAATGCAAACAGAAGTCCATCTACCATAAAAGGTTCTATAGGTACAATCCCTATACATCCCTCTGTACTGAAATCTCATCCCATCCAGATGTCATACCTACTTTAACTGTTACTTCAAGTTAAACTTTCAGAAACATTTAATCCAAAGACTGGTTTCTATAGTCACTCTAATATTTAAGCTGTAATTTAGGAAAACTGTGCAATAAATAACAAAGTACCTGCTGCTTGGAGGGGAGGACTAAAGCTTCTAAAATTTGCAGATTCAGCATTTGAGGTATGATTACAAACTTAATCAACTTCATATTGGCTTTGTAAGAATACATAGCTGATTAAAAGACCATGGCTAATTTGCTATTTACTCCTTAACAGAGTAAGCAGTGAAGAAGCATACCTTGCTGCGAACAGCGGGCTGAGAGGCACTAAGTTATCTTCTTACCTGTTCAATATTATAGCCGCCGTTGAGAATGGCTGCATAACCTCCTACAAATACACCACCAGGAAGTAGGTACAAGTAGTTATACTCAGGAGGGTCTGTGGGACGTTTGAACATATCCAGCATTCTCTGTGTAACTAGAAACCCACCTGGCCAAAAGAAAGCAACAATTTTTAAAAAAATAAAATCTAAAACTAAGCATATGTCAAGCTATAAGAGAAATATTTGGTTAAACCATATTACAACACAAATTTAGCAACTGACACTAATAAAGCCTCTGAAAAGCTAGTAAGCTGGAAAACCACCAGGAAACAAAGGTGTAATCAGGGTGAGATCCTGTTGTCTTTTTTAAACTTTAGAGGGAATTTATGAAAGCCTGGAGGACTTGCTCTGGCTCCATACTCTACGCTGACTATAGGGTACGGATTAGTTTATGATCATGCTCTTTTTTCTGTCTACTCTAGCAAAAAAATAGTATTTATAAGTCACATTGCTCACTTTCACATCTTTTTTTATTCATGAAGCTGGGACTTTTGAAGCTCGAGCAAGCAGAATTTTGTTCTATGCCACTAGTATATTTTTCAAGTGGGAAAAGGAATACAGAGACAAATGCAATACCATCTTGGGATATACAGGAAAAAGCTATTTTATATAGTCATCACCCAAAGGATACTGTAAAAGAAAAATGCACGTTTAAACGCTTCCCTAAAAAAGATTACACCACAGGGTGTGTGAACTAGATACAGTAACTACCATGAAATTTGGTGGGGGGTGTTTCTTTATTGATGAATGCTCTCAGATCCTATTCCCAGAATATTTCTGGAATTTGCACACTGTAAGAGCTAGAAGAATTAGAAGAATTACACAAATGCTTTAAGTTTGCCTCAGGGGGAGAAAAAAAAAAACCAAACACAAAACAAAAAAACCCAAACAAACAAACAAAAAAAACCACCACCACCAAACAAAAAACTAACATTCATACCTGCAATATTGACTGAAGAGATAAAGGTTGAAAGCACTGCTAGACTTTGAGGAGTGTTTTCAGGGAGATAGTTTCCTCCCATCAATACCAGTCCACCAACTGCAGTTAGTCCTATTTAAAAGGGAAAAAAGCATTACTGAACCTTAAAAGGCTCTATACCTAGAGCAAGTTTCCTTCTACCTGTCAAAAAGATACCAGTCAACTCAAATTTTTACCCCTACTCTACACATTACTATTTAAACAAAGACTACCATGATCTTTTTCAGCAATATAAACATGTTTCAAAAGAAAAAAAAAATAATAGTATATGAATGTAGTTTTGAAGTGGCTCAAGCACAGTCAGCCTCCGAGTACTTGTTTGATAAAAGAAACTTTGCTTTTAATAGTCAAAATAGATCAGACTCATGACCTGTCACATACATACATACATATATATACACACACATATATACACACACACAGAGATATATAAAGTCTTACATATGTATAAGGTTATGAATCTTACAGGTCACTTAAGATATTTTTTTTTTTCCCCTCCTCAAAACACATAGTTTGAGGAGAGGAAAAAAGAGAAAGCAGAAAACATGAAAGAAGTTATTTTCAGGGCAACATTTTGGGAAGAAAGTTATATGAAAGGAGAGACTGCAGCACTCCAAGTAAAACAAACTTTAAAGCAAACAGTTTAAGAGTTGAAAATTACTTATAAAAATAAAAAAAATACACAGCACCACATTTGCCTTTCTTTTGAAAAAACATACTCTTGGAAAGAGTATGTTCCAGTTTATTTTCATAAATAGCAAGGACAACTCAGAGATGCAAAGTAGTACTAGGCTCTTTGGCATTTTAAAAGGCATATCAGCAGACTTTTGTCTAAAGTTCAAGTAAAAGGAGCGGTGTTTATTTTAAATAGAAAACAAGAAGTTGTATGACAGCTACTTACCTGAGATAGCATTAGTCACTGACATAAGTGGAGAGTGAAGAGCAGGAGTCACACCCCATACCGTATGGTACCCCACTATTCCAGCTAGGCCAAACGTTGTCACCATTTGTGTGAAAGCAGTATTAGGAGCTACGATGCCTAGTCCTAACATGCCCGCTAAACCTAGAAGAAAAGCACAGCAAAACTTTTCTATAACTTTTCAATTGTTTCTTACATTTAAGCTCTGTACAAACAGGAGTCCAGTATTGAGCTAAAAGTAAAAAGGAGTTTTGTGCATGGACTTGTTTCAAGATCAGCTGGATCATCTTTGTCAACTACAAAGCTCTTTAAGTGCTAGCGGTTCTTTTACAACAGAAAATAAATCCATAAATATAATACCAACATCTTTGTTATGCATGCAGACAAAGCAGCAAGGATAGGTTTCTACCCCAACACTGGCTCCTGTCACACTCCTGTTCTATAGCAAAAATGTAGAAGAGTCACAATCATGTTGAGATACTACTTGAAAGACTCAGAGTGAGTATGAAGAACAGAGGTTAACATTAAGAATACTCAATTCATTAATTGCCTCGTGCAGAAGTTTGACACACACAGAATACCAAATGACAGGAAGAGCCAGTATTTATTTGTCAAGACAATGTCCTGTTCCCAATACTTCAGTAGATTGTGGGCATTTAAGTCTCATACAATACATTAAAGACTGAAGAAAACAATGGCATTAAATTGATTCTGCTGCAAAGTATGGGCACAGTCCCTAGCAGGAGTCCTTCAGAATTGTAAGTATTTTACTGATATTTAAATAAAGCCAAACACACATACATGCACACAGCATGAGTCAGCACTGTTTGAAATGTTAAAATTTTAGAAGTTTAACCAAAAGTATTATTTCCCCCTCTCAAAAGCAATTATTACACTACACTGATTTTGCGCTAGGATACACTAGCCAGTTATTAAATTGAACGAGTAAAATGGGGAGTCACTGAAAAGTATTAGCCAAATGAGGAACACTCTACACTAATTCTCCAACTTTGGAAGTTGCCTACCTGCTGTGTATACAGATGCACTAGTCATAGTTTTTCTAAAAGGTGTAATAGTAGCTGCTTTTTCTGCTTCCAGCTCTGCTACAGTCTTCCGCTTCACAGGGGCTCCTTGAGGAATGTTATTTGGTGGAGGTGCTGGGAAAATCACCTTGCCATCCTGACAAGAGATATTTACAGTTATCCCTAACATGGCAGATGCTTTATAGTTTGAGGAGTCTACTCTTCTTAATCCTGCAACTCAGATAAGTCTTAAGACCCTAGAGCCATGCCACAAGAACATCATCTTCCTTTTTCCTGCATCAGAAGTTTGCAAGACTAGATGACCAGTACAGCCTGACCAAATTAACCATACTGGTTTACACATTTTTCAGACAAGATTTAATATCAGTGTCCAAGAGTGCCTGGCAGAAACACAGCACAGGGCTTGAAAGCAGGAACCAAACCAAAGAGGGAAAGTTCCTTAAATGGAAAACATTTATCCAAAATAAAACAGGGTCTTGGAAAAAGCAAGTTCTGCTACAGATCTTAACTGTAATCAGTACCTGCCCAGACCTCAGCAAGGTTCCAGACATGATGTCTCACATTTCTTGTTGTTCTCCAGGCCTCTAGAGGAACAACTGCTGGAGCTGTCAGACCTAAAAGTTGTACATGCCACTTTAGTGGTCCGAGAGAGCTGAAGTCAATTCAAGCCTCCTCCAGAGTAGATATTAATGAGCATTACAAAATCTTGGCAACATTATCCAGCAAAACTCAACAGAAATGAATACCTCTTACCAAAACTGCAGATTATTATTTCCTAATAGTTGCACAAGGAGAGCCCATACTGGCCCATGCCCCAAGTTTGTATTTTATTATTTTGTAATAGAGCTTAAATTATCCTGCATATTCTAGTTCCACCAGTTTTTTTTCTGAAGTTACTCTTATAAGAACAGAAACATGTATTTATTTAAAAAAAAAAAAAAAAAAAAAAAAAAAAAAA